CCCACCTCCTCCTCCACCTAGGGTTCTGACACCCGGGGAGACTACAAACGTCCAGAAAAATACGGACGTTCCGACGGGGCCGGCTCCACCCCCAATCCTATTCCAGCTGTCCAAAGCGCCCACCAATCTAGTGGATACACCCTTTGAGTTCGAGGTGGATCCAACAGCGCTAAAAGTGAGCAAGCTAGAAAAGCTTTTCAAGAAGGCTCAAGGCGTGAAATCCATTCCGGACCTAGAGCCGCAACCCTTACCAAGTAATCTCCCACCAACCCATAACCCAACGAAGTACTGTGCCTTTTACCAACAGCATGGTCATGACACCGACCAGTGCTATAGATTGCATCATGAGATTCAAGATCTCATTGACAACAGGGTGATCGTGCCTCCGGAGAAGCTGAATGTCACCACCAACCCACTCCCACCATATAACCAAGCTCTCCCTCCCAAACGCATCAATCTGATCCAAACCTTGGTCATTCCATATGATCTGAGCATATATATCACCCCCTCCCACCTACCCAAGCTGGAGGTGTTCATTCCTGACAGCACGGACTTATGCATGTTGGACATCTTCCAAACCTGACCAGAACCGGTAGTGGTGACTATCAAAGATAGAATTGGGTCGATTGTGGGGGCAGATGGGAATGATCAGTCAGAGCCTGAGGGGTCTGCGCACTTCGTGTATAACCCGAGCGGTTACATCACACCAACAGATCAGCCTAAGCCAAAGGTGGAATTGCCAGTGGGGGCAGAGATTTGTGTGGTACGGGAGGATAGACCTAATTAGGGGCTAGATGACCTAGCTGAGCTGGAAAAGGACATTGCAAACCTTCAGTTCTTCAATGAATAAGATCCGGGGGATGCGACTGTTAACTGGTTCGATCTGGAAAGGTCAGCAGAAGCTACTGCGTGGCTCAGCGACGAGCCAGATGTTGTTGAGGTACCTCAGCTAGAGTAGGGGCGATCAAGAACTGGGATATTAATGGTGGCCGGAATGGCCGGGAATTAGGATGCACTGCCGGAGAACACCGGTGTTAAGAATTTTGTTCGGGATCCGGATAGTTTGAATACGGAAGATGCTGAACAGCAGGCTGTACTGAAGCAATTTGAATAGGAAAATATCGAAGATCTTGAGAGAGCCAGATAGGCCAAAGCCCCTGTAGGGATGGAATGCGCTGTAAGCACAAGGACGGTATGTACTGTGAGCACAAGGACGGGATGTGCTGTGTGCACAGAAGCTGTTGTAACAGAACCGGACAAGTGCCTGTCGGTTGCCGATGGTATGTGGTGAGAAGACGACGACCTATATCTTGCCCACACTGATGAGGATTGGGGTGAAGGCCTTCCTGACAATACCAGGTACGCAGAGGAAATCAACCACATTTTTAAGCTCTACCGATATTTCAAACCATCACATCTAGAGCAACCCGAGGCATCTGGGAAGGACAAAGAGGTAGATTAAACAGAAGGAAAAGCAGTTAGAGGAAGAGGCTGTGCTGAAACAGTTGAAAAAGATTCAAGCTGACATATCTATCTGGGGGCTACTTATAGCTTCGCGAGTGCACAGACAAGCCGTACTGTCGGCGATGGATAAAGCCAAGTTGTCCATCAATACCACCCCGGAACAACTGGTGGGACTAGTCTTCCTGGGAGGCGCTATGCCAACTTTGACCTTTTTAGACAAAGAATTACCGCCAGAAGGCTTTGCGCACAACAGGCCTCTATACATATCCGTAGAGTACCGAGAAAAGTGGGTGCCAGTGGTGTTGGTCGACACTGAGTCGGCAATCAATGTTTGTCCATGCCGCACGACTTATGCTATTGGCCTGAAACCGGCCGATTTTGTACCTACAGCCCAGGTGATCCAGGCATATGACAATATAAGTAGAGAGGTAAAGGGAAACAATGCAGATTAGAGTGCAGGTTGGACTCGCTCAACAGGATATTGAATTTCATATCCTAGATGTTCCAGCCACTTTCAACCTACTACTTGGGTGACCCTGGTTACAGTAAGTAAGAGTTGTCTCTTTCACCTTCCACCAAATGCTGAAGTACCTCCATGGAAAAGGAGTGGCCATAGTCTTCGGGAATTCATCTATAAATTCCCCGCCAGAGGTCACTACGCCTATACTGGAGATTGTGCATGACGAAAATGATGTTTTCATTTCGGGGTTTACCTTGGCTGAGGCCCGGGGCAGTGCAGAATATCCTGGCTATCGATGAGGGCTTGTATGCCAGTGCCCAATCTGTGTACTTCATGAACAAACTCCAACACATACCAGGAATGGGATTAGAAAGAAGCAACCGGAAAGGCGTCGCTGCATTGGCCGGCGTACCACGTAACCCTCACGCCTTTGGTCTTGGCTATATACTTACCAAAGAGGACTGGGTGAGGAAAGGGAAAGAAATGGCTGGAAGAGCTAGAGCTAAGCAGATTGGGAAGCGCTACGAGCTTGTGAACCAACCAATTTGGGGAACCCTGAATGGCTATTTTGTTCAGGGGGGGAAAGACTTCCCATTCTGTGGTTTCCTCGAACCTTGGTTCAACTCTGAGAAGCAGCGGGTTCTCGGCTTTGAGATTTTCTTTGACTTGTAGCTGCAAGAGAGTGACACATAGGAACAGGCTAAACTAACTGTTAAGGCTACAAAGTGCACATAAAGTGATTCCAACAACAGTGAACTTGAGGTAGGAGCAGCACTGTCATGTCTCCTTTTGGATCCTCAGATCAACTCAGAGAGCTTGGGGGATGACCTAATCGTTTCCATGATCGGAGACCAACCAGGTATGAACCCTTCTAGCGGTATTTTGGATGCATCTGACACACCGTCCCTTACTTGGCAGCTGGAGGAGGGCTTCTTGTCCAGCAGTTTTGAGTCAAGTAGTGAACCAGAATCTGATTCTACAGAGTTTGTGGAGTCAGAATCAGATTCCGGTTCATCTGAGTCTGAGTTCGGTATTCTTGGGGTTAATAACCCAGATGCCGAGATTTTGTCCAGATCATCTTTTTCCTTTTATTTTGAGTCGATTGTAACCGAGGAACTAGATGAGTTGGACTTTGTGAATGAGAATGCCATCGCAGGTTTTGAGTACTTGTCTGTGCCATTTGTATATTGCATTGATCATGACTTTCAAAATTTTAGTGAAAACGACAAGGAAGGAGCCACCACCATCTGCATCGTTGACTAAGGTGAGCACTACCGTCTACAATCTCAATTTCGTTTTCTCTCTCTCTCTCAAGCTCTTCGTTCCGTCAATTCTTCTCCTAGGGTTTACATATGTTTAAGATTTCAGATATGAGTTTTTTCATTCAAAAATATATGTTTGAGATCTGAGATTTCTCATTCAAAAATATGTTTGAGATTTGAAATTTCTTATTCAAAAACATATGTTTCAGATCTGAGATTTTTCATTCAAAAAATATGTTTATGATTTGAAATTTTTTTTCCCATCTGTTTGTATTTTCACTACTTTTTTGATGTCATTGGAGTCAATTTGTTTTTTTTGTTTTTTTTTTCTTTCCCGGTTAAATGTGTTGTATTTTGTATTGCACGCTTTTCTTGCCTTGGATTTGTGGTGTTTTGGTTGACTTTGTATTGAGAATGTATTCGGGCGATGTGTGATAATCTATTTAAAATTAATTCTTGTTTTTTCTTTGAATGCAGAGACTAAAAATAAAAAATAAAATAAAATAAGAATCTCGTTGTTAAAGTAAAGTTTAGAACTTGAAATTTTTATGTTGAATGTACTTCTTTTTTAATTTGAATCAGAACTGAGTGCAGAGTTGTTTGTAACGATTAATTTGTTTGTTAGGAGCAATAATCTGCAGAGATTTAGTTTAGAATTTTAATTGACATGGTTTTAATATGAATCAGTTCAGAAAAATACTCTTTTAAGTGGGCTACCTTGTTAGAGACTCTGTATTTACGTGCAGGGTAGTTGTGCAAATAATGGGAGCAATATCATGGCTGGTCTTCACAGCATATTGTTTGCCATGATATGACCAAGTAGCTGTTTACTGCAATGCATACTATTACTAGAGAAAGGGACTTTACAGTGACTATATAAAGGCTACCTTTGTCTTGGGGATCACTAATTGGTTATTGTCATGAGTTCTTGTGACTGCATTGTAGTGTAGTAGGTTCTCCATTGTCTTAGGGTTCATACTAGTGTAGGTACTCCATTGTCCCAGCTTTGAATTACTGCCTACGAGCAGTTCAAATGGCATGACAGTTGTTTCGTTACCTTTTTAAAAAAAAAATGATTGACTTTAGTTTTTTCTCAAAGACGAGCATTTTAGAATTATATTTGAAATCTAATTTGAAACAGTGATTGGTTATCTAATTAGAAATAGGGAAATCTGACAAGATCGATGCCTGTTAACAATTTCACCGTATTTGCAGCCAATAAAATAAAGTTAATAGCACCATATTTGCTAATAATGGGCATTTGGTACAACAATATTTTTATTTAGCTTTTTAACTTTGTGGTTGTCATAGTTGCTTTTTTCTTGAACTGCAGTATCATTCAAAGTGTTGAAGTTTGTAATGTGGATTGTCAATGTATATTTGATTCAATGCCACCAATTTTTTTTGTTTTTGTTTTTTGCTGGAGGCATTCTTGAACTCGAGGATAAGATGTGATCATTATGGTTACCACTACTGGAAAAGGATGCGATATCAGATTGTCTTTCTTGGAGAAAGATGTTGGCCTTGTTTGGTTTGTTTTTCAGAAAAATTTTTAGAAAAAATTCTCTACAAACTAATTTTTCCAAAAAAAATCTCAAAATTTTGTTTGGGTACTTACTTTCCAAAATCACACTCTCTCATACACATCAAATCAATCACTTCAAAACTATTTTCCCAAAACAATTTTCCCCAAAACAATTTTTCAAAACCATTTATGAAAAAAGGCAAACCAAACAAGTTTTCGTACTTTTTTGTCGCAAAAACTACTCTACAAACATAAACCAAACACACCCGTTATTTTTGTAGTTTTTTGACAGAAAAAAGATCCTTAGAATACATGGGTTATGTATATAATAAATATAAAATATCTATGTAGAGTATTTATTTCTAGGCTTATTTGACAATTGGTTAGTTGAGTTATTACAAGAAACATGTTTATATAAATGGTAGTGGTCTCAATCATAGTTACCAAGAAACTGAGTTGGGGATGGAAAAGGCTTTTTTAGAGCCACATTTTTGAGGTATGATCTCAAAAAGTATGGCCCTTTTGGAATTGCGTGTTTTGACTTCTTTGACTAGGATCAAACCTGGAAAAAACTCCTCTTTTGGGAGGTGGGAGGCAGTTTTGTCAAACTATGTAAAATCAAATTTTAGGATTGATTTATGCAAAATCTAGCAAGTTAGGGTCAAATTCCATGAGCAATGGGTCTCAAAACCAAGCCACAAGAAATAACAAAGTAAGGCTAAAATAAAATCCCAAGATCTGAAGATTCAGTTCTTCAAAGACATCCTTAAAATGTAAGTAGCTAAGGGAGTCACTTCCTAATGAAGTACTTTGGAATAGAAAAACTACAAAATAACAAGAAGGGAACAAGCGGAAGACATACAATGAACCACTCCATAACAAGCTAGTGACACATGATGTTCATGCAAACATTCAATGGCAAGTGACATGGTTTTGCATGTAGCCACCTATTAATGTGTCCTACGTGCAACCGTTGCACTAAGAAGTAGGTGACTTGCTGCTTACAAACAACCACCGCAATAACAAGCTGTATACAAGAACATAATGCTCCTTGTCATTAGTTTTTGGGATTTGAAGACTTTTGAGATTTGTGAGACTTCTGTTGATTTCTTCTCTCAAGTTATTGCCTACCATCTTTTGATTTTGCCATAGCTGATTCCACTTGTTCAAATGTTTGTTTGTTTGTTTGTTTTGGGTTCTTATGTTTGAATTCTGAATTTTTTAAAGACCTATAGGGAATTGAATATTTGAGGGCTTACATCTCTTTTCTTTTGTTCTAAACTTGGCAGGTTGGTAAATACGTAATATTTTTAGATTAAAAAAATGTCTTCTCCAAGCAAGAGGAGAGATATGGATGTCATGAAATTGTAAGATTTTTTTATTGACGTGTTCTTTGTTTTTTGGCTCATTGCATTTTTTATTTTAGTTTTCTGATATGAATTATGCCATCACATACCCAAAAAAACTTATGTACATCTCTGTTTCATGTGTTCAAAATTCCCTAGGTATTGCTATAGTAAATCTTGGTATCATATACATTTAGGTTTTTCAGTTTGCCTCTTGCAAATTCATATGCTTCTTTCCGGCTTTGCCTCTTGCTATCTTCTATACTAAGAGTCATATTTGTGGATGGTGATTTCTTAGTGTTATTATTGATCTGTTGTGTTCCTGTTATAGGATGATGAGTGACTATGCTGTGGAGCCAATAAATGATGGAATTAGTGAATTCAATGTGGAATTCCATGGTCCAAAAGAAAGTAAGTTTCTTCTCTGTCAGTGCCACTAGTCTTATTGAAATAGGACCTTAGCTGTTGTTCCGACGCATTATTTCTATTTGCTTTTCACTACTTGAACTTGAATGGTGATTAGGTTTTGAGTTGGAGAACAAGTTTTATTCATTATATTGCTGTCTGATTCAAATTATATATTTGATTTAAAAGATATGTTTTGACTGTTAACCTTTTGCATTATGACTGGAGCTAATTTAACGTATATCTCCAGCATATACAAGCCAAATCATAGCTTTGGGTGTGTATGGCTAGGACTATAGACTCTGTTGGCTTTCAACACTTTCAGATTTGCATTTTAAGGTATGTTTCATAGCTTTGAAGAAACTTGAAGGTCCAAACATTTCTCTTTTCCACTGTTAAATCTAACCTTCGGTTCACTTTTTTCCTGGTTGATTTTAAACATCAGGTTCCATTTTTTCATGCACAAGACAACTATTTGGAATACTGAGAATTTTTATCTTTTAATGGAGAAACAATATCTTTGATTGCCTTTCACTACAACCTACATGTGCATAGGGTTAATTTTGCAAACATTTGGTCACTGAAGTGAATTTTTTTTTAGTTCTTGTCAAAATTCAAACTACCCTCCACTCTTTCTTTCCCCCCAATTTTCTTAAAGAATGAGTTAAATTTTGTTGAAGAAAAGAATGAGCTAAATTTTGTTTCCCTTGTTTTTATAATTATACTAGTGGAATCTTTAAAAGCACCTTGTCCAGAGAGCAGAAACAGCTATAATCTCTCTCTCTCTCTGGTGCTGCTCTTCTTCTGTGTGAGAATAATAGACCTTATTCATTTGACTTTCCTTTGCTACCTGAGTTGGTGCAAAAAGTGGAGGAGCTAGGATTTCCCTTTGTTGTGGTCATTTTGTAATGTACTAATGTAGCAATATAGCATTCTATAGTAAAATTCTCGTTAACTTGGTGCATTATGGGTATATATTTGGGGTGCAAATACACAACATTTTACAATTGCCCCTAGTTGAATTTAACTATGTATGATTTGGTAACACTTATTCAACCTTTTAGAACCTTAATAACTAACAAACTTATATCAACTTGCCAAAAGCAAACCTGAAGTGGAGAAATAACTTTAAAGTTTAACTAAGTAGGATATTGTAGAACAATGTATCAAAAAATAGAAGTCCTTGCAACTCTAGGTCACAAGTAAAGAACAACAGTAATAATGAGCAGAACAAGAAAACTATAAATAGCACGATGAATCAAATATCAATAAAAAGTTTATCACTTAATTTCAATATAGTGTAATTATTTTTTCACCATTAAAGGTTTAAAAAGTGAATTGAAAATTCAATCATAAATGCTAAAAGGCTTGATTCTTTAAATTTTATTTATTTTAATTTATAGTTGGGTCTATTGGTTTGTGTGCAAGATGGAAACATATATGTTTATAGGTGTATTTTTGTTTTGTAGAGAAAAGAAAGGAAATTTCAAATTGTAATAATTGCTAGATTTGATTCTTACATTTTACTCAAAATTTTTACCTGTTAGGAGACATGACCCTATCCTCTACTCTTTGTTAATAAATCTAATGGGATCAAATTACATAAAAACCTAACATTAGTTAAAATATTGAACTCAATTCACCTTTTTTTCAGTATATTTATATATTCCAGTGGGGCCAACTGACCCCACTTGGAAGTATGTGGCTCAGACACTGGTTGCAAATGCATCTTGGACGTGATTCTTTCATCATTTCCTAATTCTATTTTTTTATTTTTCTTTTTTCTTTTGAAAAATGCGAGAGTTTGTTGGGGCTTGATTACGAGCCCCTGTAAGAATGTTTTAGGAAATTTGGGTTTTCATTATCTTTGGGCATAGCAGAATTGATGTTGGGCATTTCATTCCTACTTATTAATACATGGCCATACTTATTATGTTTTTCTCATGCCACAGGAGACTGTCAATTTCCCCCCATTTTATTTTCAGTCCTTTTGTTTAATGATCTTCTTTTTAGATTTAGAGCTGGAAAGGCATTTTTCATGTTTTCTTTTTCTTTTTTTCTTTTATTTTATTTTTTTTATACATTTGTCAGCTAGATGTGAGGTCCTTCCATGTTAATGTAGTCAACTTCTGCTGGTTATTTTCTTTCTTCTTCTCTCTTTTTTATTTTTATTTATTTATTTGTTAAATTTGCATAGGATGTCTCTTCCTAAAGACCTCTGAGTAACCTTTTTCTATTTTCGAGGTCTCAACGTGGCTTATGTTTCTGGTTACATGTAATTGATTCCATCACACTGGTTGCAGGCCTTTATGAAGGTGGTGTCTGGAAAGTCCGTGTTGAGTTGCCGGATGCCTACCCATACAAGTCTCCTTCCATAGGATTTCTAAACAAAATATTCCACCCAAATGTTGATGAGATGTGAGCCTCCTTTCATACTTCTATAGCTCATAATGGCAGCTAATTTGCTTAGACCCAAAGACGATTGATCACAAAATAGTATACTCTAGCTTTTTGAACTTGAAAAATTAAAGTATGGTTGAGGAACCTCTTGGAAGTTCTTTCAAAGAGTTAATTTTAAAACCCTTATTTTCTTTTTCTTCTTTTTAATTTTATTTTCCAAAAAAGGAAAATTGTTGTACTGCTTTTCCTGTGTTATGAGACATCTTTAATATTTTTGTTGCTAAATTTGTTATATACTGACTAAAATTGTTTTGGTCAACCGCAGGTCTGGTTCCGTATGCTTGGATGTAATTAACCAATCTTGGAGTCCAATGTTCGGTAATTATCAACTGATCTATGAACAAAATACCAAATTAAATTGTTGGTGCAAGAGTAATGATGTTAACTAATGTCACTAAATGTGTTTGTTTGTTGTGTTTACTTGATCTTCATTAAGGGTTTTTCAATACCTTACAGTGTTTATTCTGGGATATACAGATCTGCTCAATGTGTTTGAGGTTTTTCTTCCGCAGCTTTTGCTTTACCCAAATCCTTCAGATCCATTAAATGGTGATGCAGCATCGCTAATGATGAAGGATCAGAAGCAATATGAACAAAAAGTGAAAGGTGAGTTTTTTCTTATGTCTTGTTATTTATTTTTCCATAATGGTATGATGATCACCGCGTTTATGTACAACATTTTGTTTGTCAACTCATCTCATATGTCATCATTGCATATGTCCCCAATATTGTGGTGACACATCACACAAGTAAAATGTGGTATATAAATTTAGTCATCATAGTATTATTGGTATTTTATTTCTGGTAGGTTTCCTCTCGACTTGAAGATACTAACTTGGGAATTTAACCATTTTGACTGTCCGCAAACTATATATGTATTGCTATAGATGATGTTTGGGGTACAAATCGAAACATAGGCCAAAAGTTTTGTTTTTGTAGTTCAGCTTGGAGAGTACTGCAAAATCAAACATAACACATACCTTTTATTTCATTATTCGTATTATTGTTCTTTTGCGATTCTGAAATTCTTTTCAGAATTTGAATCTTTTAGGCCTTCTTGGTAGAAGTAGTAGCATTTTACTGTTAATGATGACAAATGTATATTTGACACACTACTTGTGTTGACAGAGTATTGTGAGCGTTACGCAAAGGAGAATATCACCACCACACTCTCAGAAGAGAGTGACGAGGAAATAAGTGATGAGGATGTTAGCGATGGACGAAGTGCATCTAGTGAAGATGACGTTGCTGGAAATGCAGACCCTTAAAAGGGAATGAATGGCCTCGGAATTCAATATAAGGGAATTAATTCTTGTTTGATGTTGTTTTTTCTCTTTTATATATGACATATATCTTAATTGCTTGTATAATTAGGAAGGGCAGTTAGAGACTGGATACAAGATACCATGCATGTGTATCAATTTATGGTGGCACATTGGTTCAAAGAAGAATAGAAATGGAGAGATTGTTTTTATTTGCTGTCTTGTTATCTGTCACTTTGATTATCAATTGCGTAGCAAAATACTATGATTATTGGGTTAAATTTATTGAGGCAGGATTTGTCTTTACAAAACATTGAAGTTGTGTGGAGCTGATCTACAGCACTTGGTGAGTCTGTTAAGTACTAAACTTATTTATTTATTTATTTATTTATTTATTGTTGGATTAGGAATATGAGAAGAAAATAAATAGATATTGATCAAATTTTTTTGTTTGTTTTATTCATAAAAAAAAAAAAAAAATAGTATTTCATTCCCTTGACAAATCCGAATCCAAGGATGGCATGGGGATTAGTAAGCCTGTTCACCCTGACTTTGCAAGGGACATGTTGTTTTCAGGTAGGGACATGGACATGTCAATTTTAGGTTCTGAGTCACAAAGTTGTCGCATGCTTAGATTTTTACGACTCAATTATTGAACTGTGATAATCTTAAACACGTATGTAATACATTCTGTTTTCATCTTTCCTTAAAACAGTGATGGCAGATTGGAGTAGTGATTTAGAATGTTACAATAATTTAGAAATCAGTGATAGCTACCAGAATGAGAGATTGAATTCTTTATAATTCAGTTGCTTTCTTTGCTTCAACAGTTGCAGCAGCAGGAGAAAGAAAGAGGACAAGAGTACAATGATATTTTGCATCATATGCTAAACATTTTCTATTCATTTGAGTACTTCATTGAGTTGAGTGAGGTTTGGTGATTGATATATTCATTACGGCCTATTTGAAGCTAGACGTTGCTAATTTATAAACAAAATTTAAAAACGTGCGTCTCTCAATAATCAATGTTTATTAAATTTATTAGGAAATTGTTTGACATATAATCTCAAAAAAAAAAAAAAAATCATAAGCAGCACCACCGATATTTTGCCTAAAATTTGATCTGATTTGATTTTTGATCAACACGACCACATCATCAGTTGCAAAATTTCCATCCACTTTTTGAGGCTGAACACAAACGTGGAAGAAAAATTACAAAAAAAAAAGAAAAATTATACATCACCCAAAAGTGTAAATAGTTTTCAAACATAAATTTCTTTATTAACTGAATAGCAAACATATAAACAAATCATTTCTATTTCTTTTTATTTTATTTTCTTTAATCTATTTTTTATGGAAAATATTTTTTTACCGTATTTTTTACAAGAAAATGTTGATTTTGATAAGAAAATGTTGGGTGTCAACTAGAAAGAGCATCATTTATGTGGCAAGTTCAAGATTCTTGACAATCAGTCCAATTTTTGGCATCCAAATTCCAGCTAAAATGTCTTATTGTTCAACATTGTTAGGGACAATCAGAGTCCTAATGACACACACAATCTCCTAGTAATAACCGCCAATCTGGAAAAATATAACCGTTATTTTTAACCACAATTTGAACTTTGGGATCATCACCTCTGTTCCACAATCCCAACCTGTCTGACCAAATCATATCTTTTAACTCCCAACTTCCACAACAAACAATCCACATTTTGTATCACCCAAAATGAATCAAATCTCTTTCTGGGTACTCTTCATTTCACTCTTTCTCTTCATCCAAACAACAAAATCAGATGAGGAAGAAGCCAAGACCTCTCTGCTCAATTTCTACATAAAACTCTCAAACACCAATAACCCACCTGACCCTGTTTTAGGCTGGAATTCAAGCTCCTATCCCTGCAAAGATCACTGGAATGGCGTTAGCTGCAATAACCGGACTCTCTCTGTTCGGAAAATCCACCTCGACGGCCTAAATTTCGCTGGAACATTCGATGCATCCACTCTCTGCGACGCTCCATCTCTCGTTGCATCTCTCACTTCACTGAGCCTCAATGACAACCACCTCGGCGGGGAGAACCTTGACCGGATTGAAAATTGCAAGCAACTCACTCAATTCCATATAGGCGGTAACAGATTCTCCGGCACCCTACCGGAGTCTCTTTCCGGGCTAAACAACCTGAAATCACTCAACCTTTCACGGAACAACTTCTCTGGAAATTTGCCTGAATTGGATCGGATATCGGGTCTTCAACAGTTGTTTGTTCAGTACAATCAATTCACTGGACTCATACCCAATTTCAATTTTCCAAACTTTCTCGAATTCAATGTCTCCTTCAATAATTTCACCGGCCCAATTCCCAATGGGGGAAGTCTTTTTCCGGCGAGCAGTTTCGCCGGAAACCCTGAATTATGTGGTAATCCATTGCCAAATCAATGCCCAAAGAAACCCAACAGACACCAGTTTCTCATCTATTCAGGCTACTGCGTCATAGGATTGACTGTTTTAGTTGTCATCATACTCAAGATTTGTAAAAGAAACAAGAAAAAAGAAGAAAAAGTAATTGATGGAGGAGCTAACAGGGTAACTTCAATTGATGACAGTTTGTACACCAAATCCATTGTCAACTCAGGGGAGTACAAAACAGGGTCTTTGGAAAAATCAGAAATTTCGGCTAATAGTGGCGGTGGCGGTGGGATCGATTCGTCGTCACTGATAGTGCTGACGAGTCCGGAGGTGAATGGGTTGAAATTTGATGATTTGTTGAAGGCTCCGGCGGAGTTGGTGGGGAGAGGGAGGCAGGGAACAGTGTATAAGGTGGTGTGTGAGAATGGGATGAGTTTGGTAGTGAAGAGGATTAGGAATTGGAGCATTTTGGGGAATGAGTTCAAGCAGAGGATGAGGAGGTTGGATCAAGTTAAGCATCCAAATGTATTGTCAGCTGTTGCCTTCTACTCTTCTGAACAAGAGAAGCTTTTGGTGTATCAGTATCAGCAGAATGGAAGCCTCTTCAAGCTTCTCAATGGTAATTTCATTCCCACTTAATTCACAAGTCATTTTTGATCAAAAAAATCCATTTTTAGTTTTACAAAAAGTCATTAGAAAATCCAAAGAAATCAAGAATGTGTCAATCAATTAAGTTTTATTAACATAATTTTATTTTACATCAAATTTTGGTCTCACTTTTTACCACATGATGAATAGTGAGTATAAGACTACATCATATTTGCTTGGCCATGTGATGAATTGATTACATAAAATACTTTTGTACTACGATTATTTTGTGATTGCATTATGCATTCCTATCATTATTATTTCATCTTTTCATTTTCAAGGATATTATTTAGTAGTCTTAGAATAATCATTTGACATTATTTATGAGGTGTTTCTAACTAATGATATAACAAAAATTTTTATAAGTAGGACAAAATCAGACGCCACTGGTTTAGTACATGGAATGATGGTGCAATTCTTCTATAATCCGATTACAAAATCAGATATAACTCTCTCACATGACGTGAGATCCACACATTTGATAAGGCTCAAGAGAGTTGTCAAATTTTGTGATCGAATTCTGAGTATTAGAATTTTTCATCATGGTGAGGTGCAACATACTAATTTCAGGAACCCAAGCCTTGGACTGGAGCAGCAGACTTTGGATTGCAGCAACCATAACCAATGCCTTAGCTTTCATGCACCAAGATCTCCATCAAGATGGCATTCCTCATGGCAACCTCAAATCCTCAAACATCTTGCTATACAACAACATGGAACCATGCATTAGCGAGTATGGTCTAATGCAAATGAACAATGAAGCTCAGTCATCTCTTGCCAATTTCAACACCAATGCTTTCAAAGCAGACATCTATGGCCTTGGTGTGATTCTTCTCGAGCTACTAACCGGAAAGATGGTTCAGACCAATGGGTTGGACTTAGCCAAATGGGTTCTCTCTGTGGTTCGAGAAGAGTGGACTGTTGAAGTGTTTGACAAAACCCTAATTGAAGAAGGTGCGAGCGAAGAGAGGATGCTGAATTTGCTGCAGATAGCTGTGAAATGCGTTAATCGATCACCGGAGGCAAGACCTAGCGTAAACCAAGTTGCATATATGATCAATGCTATCAAAGAGGAGGAAGAGAGATCCATAGTTTCTGAACCATGATTAAAAAACATGCAAAGAATTGAGAGCAACCACAAATGTACAAAGAATTTTCACATAATGAGATATAAATGTGAGACAAATGATTGGTCTTACATATTGTGAAACTCATTTTTTGTCTTACGTTTGTGTTTTTTGTCTTATGTCTGTGTTTATTATGTGAAAATCTTCTATATTTATAAAACGATTGATGAATTGAACTTGGTGGAGAAAAAATTTCTTAAGTAAAATAGGTTTCTTTGTATGGAACATAGAGTATTTTTGTATTAAATGACTAAGTATTTCAATTGTTTAAATGTGTACCGTTCAGAAAAAGAAAATTTTGCTTAAATTATTGTACGTTTCCAAGTTCTATATGTAAATGAACATTATTAATTAGATTACATTGATACAATTTAAAATTTTTAAGAATAAAATTATAAATGTAAGAATTATGATTATAATTTACTTGTCGATAACAACAACAAATGCTTCGTATTCATTCAAATTAGTAGTGCGCATGCACATCTACTTTGTGAGAAGAGACTACCATGATAGTTACACAAATACTATCAATTGAAATATTTTTTTAAATATACCCCTTCAAACAACAATCAATATTTATCCACACAAACACATCAAGCATTCACAAGTCTTTGCGGACATTATCACAACTTTGGAATTCACTCAAAATTTGTGTGTTGGAATATTTTGATGTATAAGTGTTGGTTTTATGAAGTCTCTCTCAGGACCTTAAAATAGTGAGTAAATTGACCTAATGATTAAGTCGCTATGACAATAACAAATGCTTCATTTCCATTCAAATTAGTGGAGCTTGCAAATATACTTTGTGAGAAGAGACTATTGTTGTGATAGTTACACAAATACTATGAATTTGATACATATTTGGTGGTGGTGCCTTCCATCACAATAAGAGGCTGCAAATAATAGTCTATGACAAATTTATGAGACCTATGACCACAATTTGGTGCTCTCCATGGTCCTCACTTTTATTTCCCTTTTTCATCTTTTGGTGATAAAATTAGTTAAAGCTGTTGTTAAAGGATCAATTCACCAACTGGTTGTACAGTGTAAGCATGATCAATAGAATGTAGGGCTATTGAATTCACTAGATTTTGATTTTGTTTAGTGTAATTTATTAGACCTAATTATAACTATGATACAAAATATAAATTCAGTTATTTTGGAATGGGAGCAAATATAAGAGTTAATGTCACATGTTCTATTTGACTTGAGTCTTTGGTATATTAATAAATTTTTAACTATTTATATATAATTCAAAAGCTTACCATTCTTCCAACCACCTTATAACCACCATGTTGTACAATTAGCTCACCTTTGATTCCTTTTGAATTGCACCAATCATGTAGCATAAAGTGGAATTGGAAAATCAACCTCTTCTTTCGAATTATTACCCTTTATCTATTATTATATGTGGTAATATCACAAATGACATTTCAACTATTGGTTGATCACACCAGTTAATAGTTAAAATAGCCTATACTGTATATCGTATATAATCGTTAATAATTTTTTTTTAACCTACCCATCCTCAAAATAACCCCACAAAGAAAATCTCAAATAAATGGAATGTTGCCCTTACTAGCTAACTAGCTATATATGCAGACAAAATCATCATGAAATGGCAATTATGTTTAAAAACTGAATGATTAGGGAAGAGAAGACACATGAGTTGTTGTAGATGGTGGTGTTTAGAATCATTCCTCATTTTACCTAATGGGCATTATTGTCTCTTATTGCTAATACCCACATCTAGGAGATGTGGTTGTTATCCAAAATCCTCACCTAATTTGCCTTTAGACTAAAAAATAAGCATTTATTTTTTATATTTCCTTTCAAGGCACATCCAAAACAAGTGACAAACACGGTTAGTATTATCTTAAACCAAAGCATTTAAGAAATGTGATGTAACGGAAACTTGATGGAGAATTCAAATTTAATCATTGAAGAATTTTGAATAAAAATAAATAAATAAAATCAATATAGAATACAAACAAATAGAAAGAGACAAAAAAACAATGCTTGGAATGTCTAGTAATGAAATTATTGTACAATGAACAATTTGAATTGCACGAATGTGTAGCCAATCTTTAAGCTGGTTGTTTAAATAGAGTGAGAGGTGGAATAAAAATATGATTAGAAAACCACATTCTAGTCGAAAGTATTTGTAAATGAGCCAAGTTGAATCAAATCATGTAGTAATTTTTTTTTTGATTTATTTATCTTTTTTAATTTAATTGATCTTAAATAAATTTAATCATATTCAGCATTTAATCCTATTAAGCCAAGCTTAGAAAATTAATAAATTTTAAAATGTGTAGGTTTAAATGATTGAAATAAAATTTTAATATACCAAACGCGAATGGAGTATAAATAACTATATTTGATTTAGAACTCTAGGTACATAATTTCAAAAATTACCCATTTAAGGTTCATATTATGGTTGTTAATTTCACTCTTATAAAAATTTGAAAATTTAAAAAAAAAGAAAGAAAAGAAGATCAGTTTGCAGTAGGTTTGGTTTTTTTTTTTTTTTTTTTCTTTATTTATGCACTGATGAATAGAGAAGGCAGAGAGAAGGCAGAGAGCTGACTTCTTTTGAGTTCCCAACCCACAAATGGGCTGTAAATGAAGCCCAGGCCCACTTGGCTAATGGTTGACCACCATTCTCACACCCCATGTTTGGCGCGTGTGAATCTTCCAAAATCGTTTCTTTTTGGCTTCCTTTGTCTTCCACAGTTCCACCATTGTCTCTGTTTAACTTTTGCCTTTTTTTTGATTCTCCCAATTTAAAGGTAGACCGCCCAAAAAAACCCATCTTCTCTCTCTCTCTCTCTCTCTCTCTGTGTATATGTATGTGTGTGTATGCATATATGTATTTTATAGGGTAAGAGAGGGGATTCCTATTTCACTTTCCTCTACCCTGAAAGCCTATGTAATTTAGGGTTTTGCTTCTGCAACTTGTAGGTCCCACTGAAGAGCTTTTGGAAAATACATTAATGGTGGCTTCTTAAGAATCAAGGTAGGTAAACCCTTCAACCTTAAATATTTCATGCTGTCATCTTCTTATTAGTGTACAATCAGTGACATGGGTTTTCCATCTGAAAACCAATAAAAAAAAAAAAAGGGAACCATTGCATCATAAAAGCTAGCTTAAAAAAGCCACTCAATTTCTCTTAAATCTAAGGTCAAAGAAAGTTGTGAACTATGGGATTGAAAGAGAGAAGTGCTTGGTTTAGTGTGGTTTGTTCACAAAACCCTGATCTAAGAGCAAGAAAGATTTAGGATTCTTATGAGTGTATGTAGTCCTGGTATGATCTGTTCAATGTCAGAAGTCAGAGATCAAAGATGGGTTTTTGAGCATACCCATTTGAAAATGTCTTGGATTCAACATCAAATCATCCAGAGAGATGGTGTTTTGGGGTACCCACCTCCTCTGTCTCCTCCATCCTCATATGGTGATACTTTTCACAAGGAACCATCCTCTTCTTCATCATCCTCATCTGGGACTAGAATTAGCCCAGCTGTTCTATTCATTATAATAATCTTAGCTGTTCTGTTTTTCATATCTGGTCTTCTACACCTACTTGTTAGATTTCTCATGAAACACCCAACTTCCTCAACTCAATCTAATGATAGATACCCAGAAGTTTCTTCCTCTGATGCTCTCCAAAGACAACTACAACAACTCTTTCACCTTCATGACTCTGGTTTGGATCAAGCTTTTATAGATGCCCTACCTGTCTTCATGTACAAAGAGATAGTGGGTGCTTCTAAAGAGCCATTTGATTGTGCTGTTTGTCTCTGTGAATTTTCTGGGAAAGACAAGCTGAGATTGCTTCCTATGTGTAGCCATGCCTTCCACATCAATTGTATAGATACTTGGCTCCTAACGAACTCGACATGTCCTCTTTGTAGAGGGACCCTTTTTACCCCTGGACTCAACATTGAAAACCCAATATTTGATTTTGATGATTTGAGAGAAGATGATGGGTTTCCTAGTAATGGAGAAAACGGGTTTGTTTTGAGTCAAAAGACGGTAGAAGTTGAGGAAATTATACGCGAAAAGGGGGTGATCCCCGTGAGACTTGGAAAGTTCAGAAAATTAGATGATGGTGCAGGGGAGAGAGATGTAGGGGAGACCAGTAGTAGTAATTTGGATGCAAGAAGATGTTACTCAATGGGTTCGTATCAGTATGTGGTTGGCGATACAAACCTTAGGGTGCCCTTGAGCATTGATGGCGAAGGTCGTGATGTGAAGCGTGTGAAAGGAATAGAATACAACAACAATCCTACAATTGAAGGGGATGATGTGGAGGGGAAGAAGATTAGTATTGGATCGAAAACTGATAGCTACTCTGTTTCCAAGATTTGGCTGTGGTCTAAGAAGGGCAAATTTGCAAGTTCTTCAGAAACCCAATGAGTAATCCTTTTTCTCTTGATATGAAAAAGGTACTTTATTTGCTTTACAGTTGATTGAAGCTTGTTAGCCTTTGTTTTTGAAATTTTTTGAGATGATGATTGAAAAATCTGATGATTGCTATGGTATTACATATGTGTACTTTACATTTTGGTTAAAACTTGTAATGCCACGTTTTTCCTTGGGTGTTCTTGCTCATTTTGGTTCAGTAGCATTTTCTTAGTTTAGAAATAAATTACTAATGTCTTATGTCTCATGAAACAACATATTGATAAAATTGTATTTGGCTGCTTTGTCACATCCTATCATTTGAGGCATCCTGGTTACTTGAGCGAGTGAAGATGCCATACTTGTATTTCAATTTAGCACAAACTAGATGAGAAAGAAGAGCGAAAGGGATGTCTAGAAGGAGTGAGAGGTACTCTACCTTGGACATGTTTTCTTCAAGCACAAAATAGTCACATCATCTAAATCACCATGTTCCTCAATTGTGTTAGTGAAGACAAAACTCAATCGATTTGAAGCACGAATTTCATGTCACTAGTGAAAATCCTATTTCTCGTTTACTAGGTTTCATCTCTTTAGCTTGGACATGTTTTCTTCAAGCACAAAATTGTTACCTCATCTAAATCACCACATTCCTCAAATGTTAAGTGGAAACAAAACTCTATTGATTTGAAGGACGAATTTCATGTTGCTAGTGAGAATCCTATTCCTCTATCTCTTTTGTTCTCTGAACAGCGGTCCAGAGTGCAAATGGTTAAATAATTTAAATTTTTTTTGCTATTGAAAGGATTTCATGGCACTTTGTGTCAATTTGCATCTCATTTCCTTTAAAAGCTTTAAGATGTTTCTTGAACTTATGCCCCATATGTTAATTTGTGGTGTTGATTTTTTTGTTTTTTCCCTTATCTTTGTTGTTGATCCCTTTGTTTAGCCTTTTTGGGATAGTGTGAGCATTATCTTTTGTGTGGAATCATCTTTTTTAAGTTTTAAAGAGTCTTGGGACATTGGTGGTGGTGGTGGTGGGATCCATGAAAGCACTGTGACATAAACTTTTCTTTGTTGTGATGAGGGCTTTTTGATTCAAAACTTGGCTGTTGTGTGGGTCATAGCATGGGATCTTTGTTCAAATAAACCCCTGTTATCTTAACCAAAGCCTCTATTATGTCAATTGTTAACATTTTTTTAACCCCTTATTTTCCAAACTCCTTAATAATGTTGGACCCTCTTTTCCAAATAGTTATCAATTGTGATGATGAACATGTATCGTGTGGAGCCGAGTTCAAGAAGCTAGAGATGGTGTCCTAATTGTGTTGGTGTTGAGAGGTCTGAGAAGTTTGACAAAAGGAGAATTGGATGCCCAAACGCGTACTGATATCTTCCACATGGATCCTTATTTTTTTTCTTTTCTTCTTTTAAAAGTGCTTTCAACACAATTAGTGATAATATTTGTATGTTTTCTTATGGAACTCAACAAACTATAGCTATGGCCGTAAATGAGTTGAGCCAGGCTGAATTGTAGAATGTGTTTAGGTTTGATTTATTTATTTTGTTGATTTCAAATGATTAAAGCTGATTATGAATTAAATTCGAGTATTTTTTTTTTATATAGTTTTATAGTTTATATAAACTTTTTGAAGTGAGTTTGAGGTGAGCTTATAAAATTTAACAAATTTTAAAATATATTTAAACTTGACTTGTTTATTTAATAAGTTGATTTTAAAAAACTAAATACGAATCGAATTCGAGTAGCCTAAACAAAATTATTTTAGGCTAAGTTTGTAGTTTTTATATAAAAAATTAATATTTTGAAAAGTTTGTGTTTATATAATTATTTGAAACATGAAATATTAATGATTCCTTTTCAAAGAAAGTTACAGCTAAAAGAATTCTTGACTATTTTTTATGGAATTTGCACGCTCTGTTTGATTGACCATACGTGAATTCCATAAGCTACGGATTCACTTTATGTAACAATGGGCTATGAAACTTGTTTAACTTTTAATCATATTGTTGCCATTCATCTCGTTTTTAGTCAAAAGAAGGATTTCTCATTAAAATATATATGGGAAATGGAAAAGGTAGGTGAAATGTGAATAAATCATGCCTATATTTCACATAGTTTCACACACCTTTTCCCTTTCCCTTTCCAAATCCCTTCTCAAATCCATCAACCAAACACAGCATAAAAGAATTCTTGACTATTTTTTATGGAATTTGCACGCTCTGTTTGATTAACCATACGTGAATTCCATAAGCTACGGATTCACTTTATGTAACAATGGGCTATGAAACTTGTTTAACTTTTAATCATATTGTTGCCATTCATCTCGTTTTTAGTCAAAAGAAGGATTTCTCATTAAAATATATATGAAACTAGAATATTAGACAATATATTATATAATGCACTTGAAAAAAAAGAACCTAAAAAAAACAAAAAAAGTCAAAATCTGTGAATGCTACTTTAGGCAAGGCCATACAGGCCATTGAAAAGGGACAAAATAATTAGGATCAAAGTCAACAGAACAATAAGAGACGACTTCAATCTTTGGGTTGGGTGAGTTTGATCATATGATATGATTTCATTTTCATGTGGTGTGTGCATGAAAATTAGCTGCTTCCACTTTGTTTACTCTTTAGTACCCACACAACACATCAATGGATTTATAGATGTTCTAAAATTGAAGACATGTATCATCTTGTGCTCCCCCAAAACCTTTTGCACTATACATGTCATTGTGAACAATCCCGAATCCCCTAAATTCCAACCAATGAAACACACCTCCTTCCTATCACCTTTGCTGTGAAATGTGGCCCCAAACAAAACTCTAATTTGACTGTCAGGATTGATCTTTGCCGCTTACCGGTTTCTGATGAATGAGTATCTACTTTCTGTGTTTTATTTTCGAAAACATACTCAATGAACTTGGTTCCTGTACGTACCACCTTGTAGCTAATATATATATATATATATATTTCTGTGTTTTATAACTCTCTCAATTGATTTAGGGGGTGTATATATATATATATATATAGGAGGGAGGGAGGGAGAGTGAGAGAGAGAGGTGGGGTGAGTCGGATTCTGATTTGCCAGAAACGAACCAACGGGACTACGGGCAGGCTGTTAGTAGGGTTGGCTGGTTTTCGTGCTTATAATATGGTTGGAAGAGAGAGAGAGAGTTGTGTATTGATTTTTTAATTTTTTTGGACTTTTTAACTGTTTTAGTTTGAGATTAAAAAGTCTTATTTGTGATAGGTTTTTTAGTTTTTTGACTTTTGTGAGAGAAAAAATGAAATAATCATAGTTTGAATATAATATTTTGTCTTATTAATTTTTTAGCCTATTTCATTTTTTGTGACTATTTTAGCTAAAAAATCCAAAAAAGGTCATGTGCCAAATGAAGGCTATACACTGGTTTTGAGTTTTTTAATAAATAATTTTTGAAATTTTGTTATTTGTAAAAAAAAATTTTCTTCATATTTTTAGTAGTTTTTTCGTAAAATAAAAGTATTCATATTTTGTTCAAACTTTAAAACCAAACAAACTGGTATTTGCAGTTGGTTGATAAGGGTCCATTTTGGCCGGGTTTAACCCGAGTTTTTTTATTTAAAAAAATTAAAGTTTGGATAATATATTTTTTAAATTTTGTGTACACTTGAACAAAAATTAAAAAGTTTGAATTAAATTTAGATTGAGTTTGAGCAAAAAAATCCGCCAATCTCAACCATTAAAGCTTAGATTATATATATATCAAGTATATCTATAAAATTATTAGTTATTGAATAATATTAACATAATTTAGATTTTTAAATCATATTCATAGTGTCTACCATATACATAAATATCACAACACAGGTACTATAAATTTTTTTTTTTTTTTTTTTTGGGAACTCTGAAATGGCAAAGGCTATTGTAATAATGACGCAACTATTTCTCAATTCTAATGTCTCTCTTCTACGTCTCTCTTATCATACCATTTGTTTGATTTGATGTTACTAATGATTTAATCCAAAAAAAACATTAATAAGATCTAACGAATATTAAATTAATTAGGCTATAGCGGGGAAAAAAAAAAAAGAAGTAAAATATTAAAAAGTTCAAATTTTTGGACAATTCAAGTCTAGCCCAGATATTATTTGATATTCTCAAGTGACTTAGTTTACGTTGGAGAATGAATTTGAACAATTTTCATCACAATTCAAGCTAGGCCGGGCAACCATTTAATCCGATTGAACCTGTCCAACTACACACCCAATAGCAAGTATTATGTTACAAAACATTATTGAGTTTTTGTGGTTCAAAATCTCAATGTTATTTTTATAAATTTTAAATATAAAAAGACGCATCATAAAACTAATAGTTTATATTTTCTACATTAATCATAACTTCTAAAATATTTTATATATAAACTAATTCAAATAATTTAAGTTATTGTGAAATATGCCTATTAAAGCCTTGCTTGTCAACTATACATTATAGTCAAAAGTCACCATAAGTTATTACACCACTCTATTTACTTTTCTGCATATCTTTTAATAAAAAATAAAAAATTATTAAAATAATATGTTCCAAACGAGGCCTAACTAGTTCATTGGTCAAATTCAAACAATGTTATATATATATATATATATATGAAAGTGGACTATAGATATAGAATCCAAGTCATTGATATAGAAGTATATCAATAAATTTATATGAAAATCCGTAGAGTTTTTACCGTATGTTTATATACGGAAGTGGATTATGGATTAGCATCCTAGTCATTGATAAAGAGAAGTACATGGGTATGGATGCCATGTAAATGTGTGGTAAATTATATTCCTAACATTGTTTATATATATATATATATAATTAGTGGTTGACGTGTGTAATTTAAATAAACAAAAATAAAATAACATATTAATTATATATTGTAAATTACTTAAGTGGTAAGAGTATATTTAATTGACTCTGTCTTATGTTCAAATTCCACTATCTTCTTTATTAAATTAATTTTCTTTTTTTATTTTTTAATAGAAAAATTAACACTTGACATAAGAAGAGAAAGAGGTTTCAAGACACTAACAAACCTATTCACTTTATATAATACAAGTTTGAGTTTTAAACTCATAAGAATCATTGAACTTTATCAAAGTCATCTTCGGTGGAGTGAAGCATGCCACAAATCTCCAGCGAGAGATTGAGCGGTGATCTTGCGTAGTGCATATATATATATTGCAAGTTAAACAAATAAAAATAAAATAAAATAAAATATTTAACATATATTGGTTATAATCTCAAGAGATACGAATCTTCTCTATCAAATTTGTGATTTTAAGTTCAAGTCTCGACCTATTCTCTTCTCTAATTTTTTTTTTTTTTCCCTCTTTGATAGATAACTAGACACTTGACATGAAGAGAGACAAAACTTCAAAAAACCAATCCAAGTGTTCATATATATAATAGTACATACATATACAAAAATATACTTGTAATAGTAGAGAGTTATAATATATATATATATTTGATACTAATAAAATATTTTAATATTTACATTCGGTAACAAATTATATATAATCTAAACAGTTCAGTTTAGTTTCAATTTGATTTATAATTATAAAACTACGAATCAAATCATGAAGTACGATTCATTTATTTTAAAAATAAAAATCGAACCGTGTGTTAAAAAAATCAAATCAAATTGCGCAATTTTATCTGGATCAAACAGAGCTACGACTTTTTCGATTTCTATGCCAGTCCTAAATTTAGGTATATTATTAAAAGAGTTTTAAAGTTTTGGGAGCCTTCTTGTAACTTCGGTCCTAAGTAAGGGTGACAAATGGACGAGTATGGGCGGATCAAAATGGATTTTGGATTTAAAACAACCAAATCTAAACCTAAACCCACCCATTTAATAAATAGGCATAGTCAGACTGGTTGAATTGGATACGGGTTTGACAAATGAACCCACTAATCCATTTACTTAATCTCTTTTTTTTTTTTTTTTTTTTTTTTTTTTATATATTTTTTTTTTTTTATTTTTTTT